TTTCAAATATACCTATAAACTTTTTATATGCCTCTAGAATTATTGTTATAGCAACTACAGGTTTTGATTGTGGATTTATGTAGATAGGAAATGTAGTGCCATGTTTTGCACCCATCACAAATGCTCTAGTTCCAATAAATAAATATTATTTAAGTTTTGGCTTGTTGGGTGTTAAAAGCTTTTTTGTAGCTTTGGAGGTTCTATGATCTACTAGAAGAAATTCTAACTTTTGAGATATTCAATCTATCTATGGATTGTATTTTTTAAGCTATGAGAGTCCTAAAATGACTAGACTTGATGGTGATCTAATGATTTTGAATACTACTTGGCTAGTATAGTTATCAAAGGTTATTTCTAATGGAAGGTACATTCATTCAAAGGCAAAAAAAAAAAAAAAAAAAAAAAAAAAAATGTTCTATAGTACAAAGAAAAAAATCAAAAGAATATTAAGAAAAGAAAAATATTAGTCTAGGGGAGGATAATCTGCAACCTCTAGAATGCTATAGTACTTCTAAGAAGAGGTGTAATCTAGTCTCTATCAAGAAAGATCAAGCTTCTAATATTATTTTATAGCAGTCTCAACAAATTCTTAGAAACCGTATATAAGACAAGGATTCAAGACCAAGAAATGGTGTTATCTCGACACTAGAAGAATAACAAGATATAAGATAAGAAAGTCCTAGCTAGACCATAAGATGTGAGTTGTCAAGACTGAGGATCCTCTTAGCCTTGACTCCAATATATTTTAAGTCCTAGGAAGCTTCTCGAAAAGTTTCCATGAGGCTTGGGAACAAAGCAAGCCTAAGTTCCTTCTTTGGCAACTTCCTCAATCATCTAAAGCCTCTTAGAATCTTCTAGAATCTCCTATGATCTTCAAGGACTTTCTTAGAAACTATTGGAACCTTTTAGAATCTTTTTAGAACCTACTTGAATCTTCTGTAACCTTCTTAGAATCTATTAGAATCTTTAGGATCTATAAGAACCTTCTAAAACCTCCTAAAATCTTTTCGAACCTTCTTCAATTATATATCTGTGATAGTGTGGAGTCAAATTAGCGAGTCAACCAATTTATTACCTAGCATGAAAAGAACTTAAAGAACTGCAAAAGACATTGGATGAACTCTTAGAGAAGGGCGTCATTTGAGAAATCACGTCACCATGGAAAGCATTTGTATTCTTTGTATCTAAGAAAGATGGTAGACTTTGCCTTTGCATCAATTATCGAGGCTTGAATAAGCAGACTATTAAAAATACATATTCACTTCTATGAGTGGATGATCTTTTTGATCAACTTCGAGATATGACTATCTTTGGTAAATTAGATGTTTCGAGCGGCTATTGGCAAACACCTATTGGAAGAAAGAATGTAAAAAAGATGGCATTTTGTATGCACTATGGATATTTCAAATGGCTGATTTTATCCTTCGGCCTCATTAATGTTCTAGCCTATTTCATCGATCAAATGAACAAATTATTTTGAGACCTTTTAGAGAAGTATGTAGTTATCTTTATTTGATGATATCTTCATATATAATAAAATCCTTGAAGAGCATGAGTAATAGCTACAAGAAGTATTGCACCGGCTATAAAATAGTTGCTTCTATTACAAGCAATCAAAATATAAACTTTGGAAGTCGAAAGTCATTTTTTTGGGGCATAAAGTGTCTTTAGAAGGTATGCGTATGGAGCCACATAAGGTGAAAGCAATAGAGGATTGGCCAACCTTCAAAGATGCTTCTGAAATTTGTTAGATACAATGGCCTTACTAGATACTATTGCCATTTTGTTTAGCAATTTGCTCACATTTTTGCCTTATTGACAAACATATTGGAGAAACAAGCCCCATTTGAATGAAAATTGAAGCAGCAAAATGCCTTTGATAAGTTGAAAGAGGCAATCATTACTACTCCATTATTACAACCGCATGATCTTAATCTTCTTTGTATGCTTGACATTGATGCTTCCAACTTTGCTATTAGAATGGTCCTTCAACAAGACTTTGGTAGGGGCCTTCAACTTGTGGGGTGTGAATCATGTAAGCCCAAAAGGATAGAGCGCAATTACTCCGCATGTGATCAAGAGCAATTAGCAATTGTACATGCTACAAAGGTGTGGTGACACTATCTATTAAAAAAATTAATGGTTTTTTTATATTAACCATTGGCCCTTACTATATGATTTGTACCTAAAAAATATGAAATTGTGGCATCATCGTTAAAAAGAACACTTGCAGCTTTTTGATATCTAGCTTGAATATAAGCAAAGGTGACAGCATACTATGCTAGACAACTTATTGCAAAGATCAGACTTAAAGGATATAATGGAAGACAAGGCAAAAGTCACTACTATTAGTAGTGTTACTTTAGATCTAACTAAAGAGACAAAATCAAAGGAAGCTATATATTGGGATATTTATTTTAAGATAGTTAGTAATCTGCTAAAGGTGGAAAATATACAATATCAAGATTATATTCTTAATGATGGCTTATTCTATTTCAAGAAGTAAATTTATGTACCCAATAATGCTAAACTCAAGACGTACATACTTCAAGAGGGCCATGACATTCCAATATGTGGACAACTGAGATAAGAGAAGACTCTAGAATAGATCTCAACGACATGATTTTGGACAAGTTTGAATCCTAATGTTTGAACCTTTGTACACTCTTGCAATAACTTTTGCCTTGTCTTCCATTATTGTCAATGTAATAAAACATACAATATAGTGTCTCTTGGACTATTACAACCAATTTTGCTACTTACAATATGATGGGAGTAGGTGACTATGGATTTTATTACATGTTTTCCACATATGCCTCATAATTATACCGCAATTGCCATCTTTATGGATCGACTGTCAAAACAATTTTACTTATTGGAAGACTGGATGGATCCATCCATATTTCGATCCATCTAATCTTCCATATTTTGCAACTGAAAGAATTTTATACCAAGTCAAAGCACTTTTTGGATCAACATCAACCACCACCACTACCAATTGTAGTTGATGACCAACAAGAATATGAAGTGGACAGCATTTTAGAGCATTACTACCTTTTTCATGGCAACAAACATTCACAACTTCAATACAAAGTTCTTTCAAAAGATTATTCCATTCACAATGCAACATGAAAATTTGTACAAAATCTCATCCATTGCCAAGAAACAATTTTATAATACCATCAAAAGCGAAACAAGGATGTTCCACATTAGTAGATGGAGATTAAGTGTAACAAGGTATAGATAAGTTAATTATATAGATAATTAGAACCATGGAAGTTTCTAGAATTGAGGTTAGGTTAGTGGATCAAGTAGGATCTATCATAGAACATTCTAAAAAAAGTTTAGGATAGTGATTTAGGTAGGGTCTACCACAGAACCTTCTAGAAAAAACTTAGGGCAGTTATTTAAGTGAAGCCCATCACCTAGGAATATTCTAAAAAGTCCATGGTGATAGAACAAGATATAAATTAGACTGGCCAAGGCCTTTTGAGGCATCTAGTCAAATATGGCTTCAGACCCTTTCTTTTAGTAAAGTTTGATTTTGCATCCTTTTTTTCAATTCTATTTTGTTTTGTTTCTGTTTGTTCACTTTTGTCTTTCATATTAAAGAAGAAAAATAAAAACTAGTTTAGTGTTTTGTTTGTAATCCTTCAAATAGATCTATTTGTTTTGTGTTGATAGAAACATGATCTGTATTGTATTTAATAAACTAGTCCTTATCACTAACCAAGAATTTACTATCCTACTATGAGACTTGTTCTTGGCTTATACTCTTAAAAGTACAACAATCTCATTAAGTTAAGTAAAGTTTTTAAAATAATATCATTATCTTTTTTTAGTTGCTCAAAAGTCTAACCTAAGGTTTTTACAATATTCACCTATGGCTTCAATTTTTTCTCATGAATTTTCTTGAGTATATTTGTATTTAAAACCTATATGTATTTTCTCAAGTATAGATGCTTGTACCAACATTTATTCTCTTCGTGTCAATGGTATCCATAATATATGCATTTATTTGTAACTTTAATTTATATTGTTTAAGTCTTAGTTATAAATTTTGCACCCATTATTCAAGACTCATCAATCATCTATTTATAAGCTAAGTAAGTTTAGGAAATTTTGCTAGTTTTTGTTGTATTTTCTTGTACTTGGTGGCAATTCAATATGAGATGTAACTATCAAGAATAGTAATGAATTGCAACATCTAAATATTATCTTCAATTTTAATTTTTACTTTGGTAATTATTTTAGTAAATTAATTCAAAGCAAAATATTCAATCAATATCATAAATCAATTTAACACAAAGTCAAAATGGTACAATATTATATAGTATTGTGTAGCATCAGCTATTAAAAGCTTTGATATCCACAAGGACTTTATTAACTCACTATGTTACAAACTCTTAATTCTTATTTTGAATTTCATATAATGACAATTTTTAAGTTTATATTCATTTATTCAAAAAAAATTATAAAACAATAAGAAGGTATATTACAATTCATAATTTGTAAACATATTAAGAAAAAATTTCTAAGTTCACTTTATATATATATATATATATATATATATATGTATGGTTGAATGTAAATGCTTTTGTTTAGAAGATAAATTAATATAGAATTGGATTGTGAAGGATTCAATAGAAAGAAATAAATAGTTTTGATTGTCATATTAATAGAATCACCAAGACACATGAAGGGATGCAATAGTGAAAAAAAATAAATAAACCAAAAAATATGTTTAGAAAAGGTCATAAATAAAGTGGGTATGAAATGTTTAAGATAACAGTAATGAATTATATAATCTTCCAAAAAAATAAATTTTGATTAAGATTTTATTATACATTAAGAACATTTGTGTCAATATTAACTTACACTACTGATTGAGTTGAAAGAAAAAAAAAATTCCCATGTATGCATGAATAAAAACAGTTCAAAAATATTACATGCACACATCATGCAAACATAATATTATGTATTAAAAACATGGAAATGTATTTGGTTTCTGTAACAATGCTTTCATTAAATAAACTCAAATGTACTACTATAGGGATCAGTTTTTCAACTCGTGATAAAAGGATGGGTTGTCCCATCTATGTGCACATAGGATTAGGCTTTTAAATTGTGACTCTATTGGCACAAAAAGTATAACGAGCGAAAATTTTATCCCAAAAAATAACAAAAATGGCGCTGTTTAATATCTAGTAAACAAGGAGCCAATTATGAAGACTTAATGTACAGATTTCTCCAACGAAAAGTTCATGAATACCGGTCTAAAGCGGCACTACACAAGACAAGTACATCCTGCAGTTGCTGATCAAGGTCTCGAAGAGAACTGATGTCATCCCTAGTGTCGGGGAAAAACGACAAAAAATGTCTCAACTGCCCGGTCCAATTCTCAACGAATTTGAAACAATGTATCGGTGGAATAGGTATAACTTTGCCGAGAGGGTGTCTTTGGCTCTTATTTTGGGAACTAGTGGTTGCAGGATCTCGTCTAGGAGAGGTCCTCGTTAGGTATAACTCACCATCCATAGTCTCCTCAGCTAAGATTTGGGTGTCGAGTGCAGTAAATGATTGGCAACTCTCCAAACACAGCTGAAATATCTGTTGCAGTCGAGCACACAGTTGAATGAGCAAGAGGCATGAAGGTGTCCGAAAATGCACGTAATGATGGCAAGACCTCATTTGCAAGACACTTACTGCAACATCACTCTGGAAGGAAACGCACTAGTAACGCATATTAACTACGTGACAGCGAAACTGTTGTATAAAACAGATGCAACAACGCCCTCATTAACCAAAATCTTCAGTGATTCGCAGATTACAATCAGAAAACAATCTGAAAGGAGTTATGGAGGATTGTCAAATATCAGAACCTGGCAGCGATATAGGCAACAATAGAGAAGCTTAGCAAGCTTTACGGTTGGTAATTCCAATGTAGCTCCGCCCTTATTCCAACGCTCCTTCAAGCTGTAGAACACAAGTTCGTCTGCAAACACAATTTATACAGAATTATTTCAGCAAAATGGGAAGGCAATGACGTCGCAGCCAGTCTGTAACCTCTACAGAATTACGAAAACAACATCGAAACTCCATGAGATGAAAGAAAATTCCAGAACATGAATATTTAAATTTTAAGTATGCTAAGGATAGGTCATCAATGGCCCAGTGAACACAGCAACATTCAGAACTCGACACGTTCTAAAATAGAAAGTCACCTGTAAGGTATTGCAGGTCGAAGAAAAGATTGTCGTGTTGCTGAGATCCTTCTGTTCTATTCGAGAAGGACTCTAAGACCTTTTCGAACTCTTGAAATGCATCCTGACTCTGCATACTCCAGCTTCCCTGCTTCACTAGCTTCCCGGGTGCCAAGCCAGCCTCTTTGCTATTCCCATTTTTTAAACCAACGTAATCCTTTTTGTTGGCAGATATCTGCATGTCCAACCTCGATCCTATGGTTGATTTTTCATGAAGCCCCTTCACTAACCCATTCATTAAGGAATAAAAAGTGCTAAGGAATGACGTAATAGCGAGTTCAAGACGCTCAAATGTATATGATTTTTTGGGCCTGCAAAAATTCAATTTGAGCGAGATAAGCAGCATATTTCCCACCAGCAACTATGCACCGAACATTCTACTCACCATGATGGTACAAATATGTCAAAATTGAACTAAATGTAATCAGAGACATGTTTCTCCAACTTTTTCACACATCTTAAACAACTAGATAGAGTCACGCTGAATGAAGAATTGAGTTAGCATACTTACCCAGAGGCAGCAAAGAAATTACGAAGGTGCCCGGCTGTTAAACGCAAGCTTACAGTGTACTTCTCACGAGGATTGGATCGGTTATAGATGGTGAGATGCTCTTCAATATATTTCTGCTTCATTACCATCTTCAGATTCTCTCGCAAAGTATCAAGATTTGGTCTAACAAGAATTTCATGGCAAGATTTCTGAGTCTTTTTTGTAGACAACTTAAGCACATCTGCACGCAACCCTTGAGAAATAACACCTGGTATCTCTTGTGATGCAGGAACATTTACTTTAAAGAAAAGAGAATCATTCTTGACAACATATTCTAGCTTCCGATGAAGATACAAGTTTCTTAAAGTAAGGATCTGGAACGAAGGTATTAAATCAAGGTCATCCTCTCGGTGCGCTTTGTGTGCAGGACCTGATTGCTGTGAGGAACGCAGGACGTCATAAGGAACCTCTAAGTCATCGGCAACTCCATTACGCGATCCAGAGGCTTCTAAAGACGAGCCACTTGGAACACATCCCAGCTGCTGAATTCCTGTAGAGCCCAGCAATACTTCGTTCTCTATAAAAGGGGCATTGACAGGTCCATCCGCGCAACAAAAGCCACCATTAGCTGTCGAAAAATTGCCTGCGTCACTGGTAATTTCCGTAAAAGTATGGTCACTTCCATGCTTCCTTGTCGAGAAGACAACATCAGTAGAGGAAATTCCAATCTGCGGGTACCGGCATTTCGCCCGAAACGGTATACACCGTTGGTAATCCTGCATGTGTTTTACGAGAAAAATTCAGTAACTTGCGAGACACGAGTGTAGACGCAGGGCCATAGTAACAGCTATCAGGTCTATTGACGTAGTGAATTCTCTAGAAAGACAGCTAGTGTTAAAATTTTGACAGAATCATGCTCAATTGAAGAATAACAGAACTGAAATGAGAAGAAGACTCACTTTCACAAGCCGGCAGTTCACAAAAATTGTAGCAGACAATTCATCGCACATATCTTCTGCGAGTGGTTCCTCTTTAGGTGCACCAATGCAGAAGTGGATCCAAAGCCGAATACTGCACGGGACGGCTCAGAACTTCACAACGGTCAGTTGTAAAGTTAAACAATGTCGTGTGGTGTACACAAATACTATGTGAATCTTGGTGTAAGATACAGCAACAAATCAACGTACGACGTTAATGCTGATTACTAAATTAGACTTACAGAATCATCAAAAATTCGAAACAACTGACACAATCAGGAATATTTTCAAATCACAGCTACTCAGCAATCGTAGATGCCACCCAGATTAGCATTTCGATTTGAACTCAAAGAACTAGTTGTCGGTCTTGCCTGCTCTTGGCATCAATGGTCACAGAGCTGAATCGCTTCAAAGATGTATTTTCGAGTGAGAAATTGAGCTCTGTAGAGTCATTGTGATCCAAGGTAGACGAGAGAAGAAACTCCATGGCGACTGATGCTTCATTCACTATGACAAAAGAACGATTTCGATACCAGAAATTGTAGTAGATTTCTGCCATATCTATGGCAACACCTTCTGCCCTGAAAAATTAAGAAAAATAACTAAAGTGAGTAGAGGAGCTAAACGACACCAGTCAGAAATTTAGAGGTTTAACTTCTTCCCACTCTAGACGGGTTTGGAGTTGCACGAAGTTCACAATAGAGCCCGAAAGCACTGTTTTTGCGTCTGAAACATACACATTCATCAAGACCGAAGTCTATAGATCACGGTTGTCTAAAGATCATAAAAAGGAGATGGAGATGCACTGCCCGGTGTTTATGTTTTACCTGTCTCCTTGCACCAGAACATAAAAAAAGGGCACTAATGGGGCCTCCGGACGAGCATTCTTCAGAGCTACAACCTCCATGCTGAGATGCACTGTTTTCAAGTCAGCTGGATTGTCGAGATTTTCCACTACAAGATAAGTAGAGTACACCCCTGCAAACCAAAAATTCAAAATCAACATCGACTATAGCTAAAAAGTACATCCAAATTGAAATGAACAATTATTTATCAGAGTTTCATGCATTGCCGAAGTCTGTTATGTGCTTCATGAATGTTTTTTATTAGCTCAGCACAATTTTGATAGGGTTTCAAGGGTACAACATCGTCAGATGAAACAGATAAAAAGAAGCAGTTCAAATCCACCTGCACATCAATTAGAGCTTCGTAAATCGTGACTGAATTATGTGTTAACAAAGTGAAAACACTTACCCATCGCTTTAGTTGAAAAAGAAAGCTTCACAATATTCTGCCGCAAAGACTCCACAATCCCTGACGAGCTGCTAATACTAAGCCATCCTGCGTCTCCATCACTAATTGTGCAAAGGCGATATGAAATCGGTCGTTCTTGATCCCCCACAATTATTAGATTCCAATGCCGATGACCACCCGATGAAATGTTCTGTTGACCTAGATTAAACTCGTAACATAATGAGCTTCCATTAACAGCTGTACAACCCCGAAGGCCAAGAACTGGTAACCTTGGTTTTGAGTGGTTAACACTTTTGACAAGTTCCTTGATAGCAGAATCGCAAGCTCTGCTTGTACCATCTTGAGTTTGTGTATCAAGCCCTGCGGCCTGAAAAGGTGAATTCTGTGGAACCAATGGTGGCATTATGAAAACATCAACCTTTTGACGGCTATCACGCTCTTCAACATCTTGAATAAATACAGATGCCGTAAGACATTCAGCTGTGCAATGACCTTCAGAGACCTGCCTCGAGAAAGCCTCGCACATTTCATCTGACCATGAGGGAAATTTCACAATGATATCAACACTGCTCTTAGGAGGGACCAGCGCCTCCCGAGGATGAACCTCCAAAAAACGTAATTGGGTACCGAAACCATCTGACAATGATTGTTGATCCCAGACCTTCAGGTGCAGATGGTCAAAAGCAAGGTAATTCTGAACGACTAATTTCTGTGAAAAACTAGATTTCTCATTCCATCCATTCCATGTTCCAAGTCGAAGACTTGTCGAATCGTATTCCACATTTGAATTAGAAATTGCCTGAGTTGTGTCGAACCCATTTCCAGCATCATCAGCATGGTTGAGGATATCTCTTTCTACAACATTTGCCTGGTGCACATGCAATTGCTACACAAGTCAGTCCGTCTGCATGAACAGACCAAGACTCTCACTCCTAGTATCCGATTTCTGAGCGGGTTGCATGAAGGCGCTAAACCCACTCATATTAATGTGTTCAAATAAACAAACTATATTCAGTAAATGCGAAAAAGGAAAACTGGTGGACCAGCAACTACGTAGTGAGATCAAAATGAAATTGCAAAAGATTCAATGTGAAATTCGGCCAAAATAGCCAAAGGATGGCACTGCAAATAAAAGCTCTAAGCCTTGCAATTGGTCATAAGTGATTCAGTTGACTTCAACTCACCTCAAAATGCAAAGAACTGGGCGACACACCAAGCATTGGACCTTGAATGAGAGTTCCAAAAATATCGATGCAGTCAGGTAAAGGAGACGAATACAAATACATGTGCCCTAGGCACACCATCGATAACGTATCTGATAGATTTTCTTCACTGCAAAAAGTGCCGTCTTCTCGAAAACCAGTACTATCGGTGGTACTCCTCTTACTGACCATCCGAGAGCCATAAGAACTAACTAAATCAGAATTTGAGATGGATATCCAGGACATCTCAGAGGATTCTTGGGGTTTCATATTCATTAATGCTGCTGCTGCGAAGGCTTTGTCTTCATTCTCAAGTGAGCCTCTAGGACTGATTGTATAACTATTGCTGTGCCTCTCCACATCATCTGATCTGATAGCATGAGGGATGAAATCGGACACCAGCCGAGCCCCTACCTGCAGCTCCATTGTTTCTCCAGGCTGCAGAGTCAGATCTGTAATCGAAGAATTATTTTCGTTTGATGTAACCTCCAGCATTACCTACAAAATTACAAGCCGCGTTAAAAAAATAAATAAATAAAAATAAGAACATTTGAAAGTAAACTCGTAAAATCACAAGGTTAATGATTCAGTGGAGAGCCCAGTGGTGCATAAATAACATTGTTGTCGACATGCCAGTGTCTCTACAGCCATCCTACATTCATTCGTGTACAGCTTTATACTCTTCCATAAGGTTTTAAATGTCCGAATCCCAGCAACAAACATTTGAGCTCACCAGCGACTCAGTGTCTTCAACTTGATGCAATTCCAGTGCTACACCAATCGGCTCTGTCGAAAGGTTTTCCACCTACAATACGAATGGCGCTACATTTTTCAGCAATATCACGAGGGTGAACCACCAATTGTATGACATGAAACAAATATGCCCAACTTCAAGCCGAAGGTAAATCTAACAATCCAGCATCAATCTTACCATCCACAATCAATAGGGTCTATCAAGTTGCAGGGACTGAAAACAAAAACAAAATCTTCTACTAACCGAAAATCTCCTACTGCAAGGTGGCGTATTGGGTTGCAAAGGCACAGTAAGAGGTGGCAAAGTTACTATCGAATCCGTAAGGCCCACAAATCGCAGGTTGCGAACGGTCATTTCTGCAAAAATAGAAACTTCCATAATATTTTTCCGATTGTTGCAGTTCACTAAGCATAGCTTCCACGACCATGTCCTAGCCTCCTTCTTATGCTCCAGCTTTGATAAATGCAAAATGACCTGGATGGAGTTCAATTCCCTCGCAGGAACATGACAAGGAGTAAACCCGTCTTCTGAAGGAACCAATTCTAATCCTTGAAATGAAAATGAGAAAATATCGGGGGCATCAGTGATCTGAAATATCATTTTCGCATCACTGCTATTGTGAACTTCTACATCAAACCCGAGATCTTGCCATCCATTCGCATCACCAACTTTACCAAGATTTATCTCTTTCATTTCAACCTCCCCATAAGACACGCACATTGACCCTTTTACAGTTAAAAACTCTAGAAACTGAGAAAAGTTCCACTCTTCTTGTAGAGCAGTAACCTCACATTTGAAATCCTCCGAAATTTCAATGACATTAGACTTGCAAAATGCCAGAAGTCCCTCGAAAGCACACAGCTTTCCCTTTTCCAAAAGGGATACATCCATAGATGACAAAGGCTGAACTCCACCACAAGCCACTAGTAATCGAACCGCAGATCCAGGCAAAATGCTAAATTTTTTTCCACATGAGCTCCAATCAGATAAGCTTCCAGGTGCTTCCTTTAAGGCAGAACTGGTCATCCAGATATTCTGTCCAGAATCTGAATCAACTATTCCCGATGATTTATCAAACATTTGACACACACCCTGGTTTTCCACAAAAACTTGCAATGGTAAAGTACTAACAGGTTGCAGAGTGAGAACTTCGTCTGACGAATTCGTCAGAAGCAGAGAAGCGTGATACGGACGAAGATCGGATATAGAATATCCGGCCGAACTTTTCACCTCTCTGTCAGTGGTACTGCCGCTCCCCACCTCTATCCCACCAGCAACAAGTGATACATATACAATCCCCATGTCGAGGTAGTGGTTGTCTTGCAATGGACCTGCTATGCTGTCTACATTAAAATTGGGCCTGTCTTGAAAATTCTCAAGCTCAGAATTCACTGTAGGTAATGAATAAGTCCTTCTAGGTGACAACCCTTCAAAAGCCAAAATCTTTTCGACGTCCTTTGCTACAGTAGATATGGCAGATAGATTTGAAAATCTGTAATATTCGTCTGAAAATAGATTCTCAGTCGCGAGTATATCCTCCCCTTCTGAATTGAAGCACTGCAAGCGCTGATTAGGAGGCTGAACGTGACATTTAAGATTGCCACGGTCCACATAAACTCGCAACATCACTTCAGCATTCTGTCCTGGGCAAGAAAGGTTTTGCACGACAACACGGTCTTCAATAAGCCCATACTCTGCTACTGGCAAGCAATACCCAATAGCTATTTCAGACTTCTCCTCACTGCTTGTTGATGATGTGGCCTCTTTTCCAATTAGATAACCCTTCAAAACTGATAATATTGACTTACCAGCTGAAAGAGAAAAATGTAAGGGCATTTGATTACTGGGATTGGATACTACAAAAAACCCTGATATGAATCCTCCAATTTCCTTTAAACGTCCAAGATCTACAAGCGAGGTAGAAACCTGAAGAAGGCTTTGTCCCACCATTGCCCTGAACTTCACCATAATTTCATCCTGAACATCTTCTTGAGAATTACTAGGGCTCATAGTAGTGTCTGTTGACTTGACTGAAATCCTCATTCCGCCAATAACCTCTCTGCAACGTCCATTTTTGTAAGCTGAAGCATCCCCACCTGGTCGCAAACACAAGTACACAGTTTCTGAACTGGCTCCCTGTAATTGCATTTCATCTGTCCGAGAGGAACCAGAAGGATTTAGTGAGATAAACGCCTGCTTAGCAAGGTTTGATCGAAACGCTAAGGAAAGAGGCTTATCATGAAGGTTTTCCAGCCTCAAGGGAGCCACTTTTGAACCTTCGGGAGCATTGATAAAACAATAGCCCATATCAAGAACAGACCCCAATGGAAAATCTGGCAACCGCAGCCGCTGCACTTTGCGAGGAGCCATTGTAACACATACTTGACTTTCAGCCAAGCAAAAGGAACTCCGAAGGTGGATTGTGTAGGATTGTTTCCCAGATTTCACGGGTTTGCAGACTATTTTGGCAGTCACAGATCCATTTCCATCTATACGTCCGTAGGCAGGAGTCACAGAAACGACTGAGTCGTTCAAGGAAGAAAGTCTGCCTTCCGCAGGTGATTTGTCAAGAACCTTAGAGAAAACTGGCACGTTCACACCGGACACCTTTATGTCGTATTCAATTCTAGACCTCGATCTATTTGAAATCGTAATCTCCTTCATCAGAACAGTCGACAAATCCGACTCCGGAAACAAAATGTCTGCAGGTTCAATTTTCAGAAATTTCTCCACCTGCTTAGCACGAACCAGCAATTGAACAGGTTTTCCACTTGGTTGAGATTGCATTGTTAAAGTTCCCATCCCAAATCCTTGACCACAAATACAATCATTGGTCATCGCAGAATCTTCTGTGTTCAAAATATCCTTTCTCACCGGATAAACACACCTTAGAGAAACATCATCAATCATACGAAGCGTAATCCACTGACCCATACCCCCTTTAAGACACGAGGAAGTCATCAACTTCGGTGTGTCAATCGAAACCTTTTCCAATCCCTGGCTTTCTAGCTGATACCATTGTAGTTGTGTTGGTTGAGAAGGAAAAGCAGGTCTACTCCAGCTTCCATTCTCAGATCTGGCACCTGCCAACCCAGAAGTGATACCACTGCTGGCATTGCTACATTGATCAACACCAAGGTCGCTAACCCATAACTGAAGATCACGAGCCCTCGGCCAATCAAGAACAAAGTGAATCCAGATATCGTGTGGACACATTGATCTCAAAAGATAGGATGCCTCCATCATGTCTCCCCCAGCATGATCTTCCAGAACAACTTCTCCAGCAAGTTCCTTACCCATCAGAAATTTACTCTGTTCTACTAAGGATAATGATTTGGCTTCATTTGTTCGTTGCTCATCTTTTAGAAGCGACTGTAGTTTTCCAAGTTGCAAAAGGTCTACTTTAAAAAGAGCTTTGGGGCTAGAAGGATTGCACTCATCCATAACAACGCTATCCTTTTCATTGATAGGGAAAGCTACCTTCTCTGAGCGAAAAGACCCTGTTGCAGTTGTTAAGTGCTCAAGGTCATTCGATAACTTGCACGAAGTTGAAGTTGCTACACCAATACCGCCATCAAAGTTTAGGTCAACAGGCTCAATAGAAGCAAACAAACTTGATGCGGATGACATTCTTGAAGCCTGATGACTAGATAGCATTTGCGGAGTCCGACCGCCACTAGGAGACGTTGGAACAGAGCTATCAGGTGTAACAGTAGGAGATAGTGAAAGTAAAGAATTTGGAGAGTCTTCCCCAGTCTTGTTATTCGGAACCTGTCCAAAAATAGATGGAAGTCAAAACGAAATTGCTAGAGTGATATGTACGAAGTTCGGCATATCAAAAAAATATGATTTCAGTGAATACCACGTATCTGACAGCAACTTTAAACCAACGAAAATTGTTCAACTTTGATGCAATAATAGAGTTTGGTACTTGAACTTCGAAAAAGCTTTCAGTTACCATTTAAAAGGACCTGTGCTGATGCCCTCCGCAAACTAAAATCTAAGTGACTTATACTTTGAAACATACCAAGCGGTGCTATACATACCTGTCTCATTGAGCTCAGAGAATGGTCCTCATGAAAAGAATTATCAGAGCAAACAGTTGCTTCAAATTCTACATGCTTCACAACATCCTGCCTCATCACCAAACCAAAAAAATTCAAAAAGGAAGATCCGACCCTCTTTCATAGCCTCAGGCAGGACTTGCCAGGTCATCTCCTAAAATAGGCGGAAAAGCAACAGAGAATGGCAACACAATGCTACTAGAACAGAACGAATTAATGGTAATCACAGCAATCGAACAAATAGAATTCGAGGACTAATAATAAATAATTAAAATCGAAAATAGTGCCTGATTTTTGCTTTCATAAGCGAGAAATGCTCCTTTAATCTGTTCGCCCAAAGGCGTGGGTTCTGGCATCCATGCATAACAGCTCACAAGTACAACCTGAAAAGCAGCAAGAAGTAATAAATCAAAACAAAGACATTAAACTAGATAAGGCACTTTTCTTGCAACTATTCGTCAGCTATGACCCTACAGTTCGAAATAATGTCAAAAATTAGTAACAGGACAAATAAGCCAATTTGAATGAGAAGCTTTCAAGAACTTGTAAACAACATGATGATGCCTCATGGACATCGTATGAGCATCAAACCACGTACCTGAGATTCATTTGCCTTCAGAGTAAAGCTGATGAATCCGTCTGAGCTTTTTGAAGTGAGATCCTTATCCTTCTCCACATTTAAAGGTACGTCACCACTTATGGAGTTCGACAGATGATTCGAAGGACTTTGTTTAACTTTGCTCTCACACATGTGATCCAAACCATCACCAGAAACTACTTCTTCGTGTTTACAAATATTTCCGTTTCCCGTTTCTTTGCCCTTAAGTTCCTCGATCTCTTTTCTAATTTTGATTACTTTATCTGCCTTGCCTTTACGCTCATAAGCTAGTGCTTTTCTTTCTAAAGCTTCAATAGCTTCTTGCTCAGGCCGCAGATAACCTTGAAGGGTTTCTTTCTTTGCCTCAATTACAAACCTCAATTTTCTCAGAGCAGGATGTGCAAGTGTAGTCTCCAAATTAGCTGACATGGGGAGACCTTTTTTCTCGACTGCACACTCAACTTCTCTCAACATAAAGGTTCGTGATTGTTTACTTGTGTTAGAAAACACGAAGCTCTGTGGGGAAGACCATTGGCCTGATACAACTGCCCCAAAGTTGATGCTGTTGCTTTTCAGCCAGAAAGTTTCAGCCCGGCTGATTGTGGCCTTTAAAGTCACTACCTGATCATTGCTGGGATCATATACATTGCTAACTACGAGTGTCTCATAAAACGATCCACTCAATGAAGGCTGAAATACAAAGTTCACTTCCTGGCTGCTGTGGGGTTGCAGCACCCCAGTACGCCCATCAATGATATGCAAATCACCAGAAGCAATAGAACCTATAAACCACCACAGAAAATGAGTATAAAATTGCTCAAGTTAATTGGAAAAGGAGCATACGACTGAAAACATCAAGATCCTAGGATGTTTACCGTTCCTTAAGAATTAGACAAAGAGACTATAAATCTACCAACGATAACACCCGTGACTAATTGTGAATTTGAGCTGCTTAGAAGTACTAGTAATAATTATCTATATGCCCAAGAAATCCAGATAAATATAATAGATGAGAGCAGACACCTATTTACATATGACGAAGAAGCTCAATCAAGTGCATGATTCAAGTCTACCTGATTTCTTGATCTTATACGGGAGAGGAACATCTGAAACGTTATTTAATACTAATGTTTTTGCTCGATGTTCGTTGGTAAACAGCTTACCAAAGCTGATATTCTTTTGAGCAATGGACAAAAGTGCCCGACAGACCTGAATTAGAACACGCAAAATAATGAGACCAAGCAATTTCACCAATAATCTAATCCCACTGATGAACTCCATTTTACTTATTCATTTTCCAAAATTACAAAGTTGCACAGCTACAATGTTGGCTCGATTCTAATTCAATGCACTTATTTGTCAAACAGCTTTAACAATCCAAAACAAAAGGGAGCAAATACACATACTTTAATCTCTACAGGAATCTCTCGAGTCAAGAGATCATCATCAACTGTCGGCTCCAGAAAACCAGGTTCCAGATGTTCCTGACGCTCCTTGTCATACTCAATCATTTGAATGGTGACCTGAAAAATGTAACCCCATCTTCTACCTTTCAGAGATAAATACAAGCAATACATCTAACTGGGTAGAACTTGTATATATAGATATAGGTAGATAGATAGATAGATAGATAGATATGTTCAAATTTTCCTGGACTTCCGCAACATCAATGTGAGGAAACGGAGTGGCTTAGCCGCGAACTTCTAAGAGTTACATGACATGTTGATCAGAAACGCATACGAGAAAATCGAACACATTAGGAGCACGTTTAAACAAATACAGTTACAAGCTCTTTCCTTGACATCTTCATGTGGTAACTGGTACACCCACCTTCGCATCAAGTTTCTTTAGCCGCCCTTGCAGATCAGTGTGTGAGTTTCCATCTACAACCAGTATAACATACAGGTTCCTAGATACACCTGGTAGAAGCTCAAGCCTCCCAACAGGCAACAAAGAATGTGGAATATCTTCTACAGCGTGCATGGTGAGTTCTCTGTCTCTGATATGACTGTCGATGAACTGCCACCCAAAATACAAAAACAATAGCATTAAAAAACAAACCAAAGCAAACCAAAGTCGATGGTTCCTCACAAAAGTACGAAACTGAAAACAAGCTAGAACATGCGGGGGCGGAGCTTAACAGGCTAGACGATGCAAGAATCATATTTTTCTCCTAATAGCATTGTGATTGAACTTCATCTACTAAGACGTTTCCCAATCGTAAAAAGTGGCACATGTAGAAAACACGCAAACCTTCTTCACACCATCCTCATCCGTGAACGAGAATTCCAAAAGCGCTTCACATCCAAGCCTAGTTAGGACTTCTTCGAGATAGTCGTCATCCGAAGAACTTCTCCGAGAGGATGCAAGAATTCCAGAGGCGTCATCAGCGGCAATGAGCATTGCATCACTTTGCACCCTCTTCAACGTTCCTGGTTGAGCGTTCTGATCAGTAGCTCCAAATGACTTCACATCGGCCACAACCTTATCTGACGAATCATTCGTGATTGCTGAAATAGCAAGAGGGCCAGTGTCCAGACTTGGAAGACTTGTTAGATTGGTTGATAGCGGGCTTGATGAGAGATCTAACGACATTCTGACAAAACAACCAAGAATACTGTCAACGCATATTACAGAATCCATAAACCATATCAGTCAGTGACTCTAGCCATTATTACGTATAAACGTTGAACACTTCAACACTTATATCTCAAAAAAGTGTCTATTCTCTTCCTTGACGCACTCAGAGCTTAGAACAACAATAACGTTTAATAAGTATTCAGTTTGCACAGAGTATTCAGCACACGTTAAGCACGTCAATGTGAAGAGATTATGGACAGAGGAACAGCACGACCGTTGAGAGGGTTTGGACTGAAGACAACCTGCAATGACATTGTCATTGTTCTCTATTAATTCACACAACTTAGCTACCATCGGCTTCTTCTGATAACGAATTTCATCTTTTTAAACACTCATACTTCTATGATAACTTGGTGAATTAGTACATAGTGGCCCCTTGACGAATGACAAGCTTTAAAAATACATAACATTATCCATGAATGGTAAGATCACTTTCTTTGGTTTTGGAATTGTGAAGCCCTGCCTCAAGTTGATCATTCCGACCTTAACATTTGGAGAAACATAGCCTAGATGGACAGTCATTTACATCGAGGCCATACATTCACATCAACTGAGTGGTGCCCACCTCATTCTCGCCTTCTTCTCTGGCGAGGAAAATGAAGATCTAGAGGCCGCTGTCTTTGAATGACCCTGCTGCAAAGGGAATGGAGCAGAATCGACAATTGCTTTACTTAGTCGAGGCTGAGACTCTTCAAGTGTTTCGAGAATTTTCTCTTTGTTGATAGATGCTGCGTAAGCTCTTAGAAAACACAAGACCACACAACTGGCTCAGTCTCTCCTCACGCAGTTGCAGGACATTACAACACACTAGGCCCACTAATAAAGAGCATCACCGTCAGTGCCGGAAGAACTTCACATCTATTGTAACGCTTGAAGGAAAGACAGTAGCAGAATATGAATTTCAATGGAAACAGAAACAAGAGACTAAAAAAGAATCAGGAAGGAGATCGTGGCCTGGTAACTAGCATAAGAACATGGCATGAGAACTATCTTAGAACCATGATCCTCCAACAACACCAACCTACAATTAAACCCTTCGTTGACCATGTTAACTCCAGAATTAATAGTTAAAAGACAGTTCCAACTTGTACAAAGCTGAAATCGAAGCTCAACTAAAATCAACGCTAATTATAACGAAAAAGCTGTCATATTGTAGCTTAAAGGCGGAGTCCATATTTCATTATTATTCCTGGCAACCTGAGGTTGCTTAAATTAAAAGTAGGCAACAGACCTCTTTCGGTTCTCATGAATGTCCTCTTCGCTTGTTTCACTTGAAAGGCTGCATTCATCGCCAACGCCAAGCTCCTCACATTCTGATGAAGAGTTATCTTGTAGAGTATAAATACTCAATTCTTCCGGCATATTGGTATTAAAATCAAGAACTAGTTCTTTATCCGTGATGTTTTCAACGGACATAATCTTCACACATGGGTTGTTGACAACAGCACTGGTTCATAACAACACCTCAAGATTAGGAACAACCAAAGCCCAACGAATTCAGTCATAAGTGATGGAGTTCATCCCTACCTCACCTAAGTAAATGAAAAATTCCACGCTTAACAGTAAAGTGATTTAAAATAGACATGTAAAATTTTGGAAGACGAATCAGGAAAGCCTGCTAATGATACGCCCATCAGGTTGCGAAGTAATTACTTGTCAAAAGTGATGAAGTTGCTCAAAGATGGGGTTTGCAATTTGTAGTATACAGAGTGAAACAGAACATGATGACGGTCCATTATCTTTGCTCGAACCTCCAGTACCTGATTATTTTCCTTGTTCAAAAGATTGTCAACTCTAATTTGCTTCCTATACTTATGATTGATCTTAAGAGGGACAAGATCTATATCCAAACTGTGCGTCTGACGAGCTGGGATAGAAACTCGCTCAGCTTGACTTTTTATGCTAAGTATAGTTGATGTAACATATGGAGTGATGAGTGCTGGGAGATCAGAGAGATTATGAATCTGCACACTTGATGCTTTTGTTGAGCCAACGTTGCAATCACCAAAGTTGAGCTCCTGAGTCGAAAGCTTCACAATAGAAGTGCATATTTGAGCTTTGCACTGCAAACGCAAGGGCCCAGGTTAGAAGTAATCAAGCCAGATCAAATAATGTCATTTACAAAATCTCCACACAATTGTTTGCAGGACTTAAACTAGCTATAGGTTACTTCCGTTTCCAAGAGACTGTTGCAGAAGCAGCCAGCTGCCTGAATTGATAGATTTCAGCAGAATACATGCAAGTTAACGAATACCTGAATAATTTTTGAAAAGCGCTGCTTGCTGTATCCTTTCTTTTCGGCACATTTCAGTGACAGTCGAAAATTGCGTCTTTGCAACCTTGCGGCCTTCAAGTCATCGGATGCGCCTGCTGGAAAAAGCCACACAAGCAGATTTTTCTCCTCGCCCTTAGCTAAAGTAATCATATCTACCTTACTCTTCTTGTTCACAATAACACTCGGACCAGCGGGATTACCCTGCAAATTAAAAAGCTGTAGGGATAAGCAATGTAAACCATCAAGCATACATCAGTTAAGTATATGAATTGCATGACGAAGCTAGGCGTGACGAAGCTAGGCGAGAGAGTCTGTCTCATGCTTGAAAGTGAGAACGCACGCCGAGACCAAGGCCTACGTTACTCTTAAAGAAGAGTCAAAAGAACTGTGAAATGACAAACATAGTATGATGAGCTAAAATTTTGTCCTAAATTCCACTGTATCCATGGGTGTTTAATATTCTATTACCCACACACAAATATATTTTTTTCAAATTCAGCACATGCAAACACCAAAAAGAATAACTTTGAACTCTACATAAGTTTAAGTTGAATAACAGTTTGCAACTTGAAAACGAACCAGCTTGTCAAGCGCAAGTAATTCTTTGTGGGCTCCCTCCAAACTCACAACGTCGTCTTCAACAGGACTGACCACATCTTTAAGACGGGCCTTCGAAGCTGCTGACAGAAGATCCAACTCGGTCTGCCGATAAAAGGTCACTCTGTCACTTGAAGCATGGTCTGAGCTCAGGTTGACAACTAATGCCTGCAAGTCAAAACTCCAGGTAAGCAATCTCAACGACTAAATTCTTCCCAAATTCCAGAAATTCATATTGCGTCTATCTTTCAAATTACGATTTGACCGTACCTCCTGAGTAACATTTCTAAGGGTCAAAAGCTGACACGTTCCATTCCCTGAGTAGCAATCGCCAAAATCTAGCACTCCATCTTCTCCAACACCAGTGACCAAAAGTCCTTCTTGTCTATGCTCCGAATTCACCTGCAAAAATGAAAATTAAACAAAAAAAAAAAAAAAAAAAAAAAAAAAAAAAGAGAAGAGACGAAGAAGAAGAAGATCCGCAATCACAATTAAGTAAATGCCACTGCATGCATAGCAAGAAATGAAAACACCACTTACAAAAAAAACTAACTATTACAAGTAAATACACAAAACCTTCTAAAAAAGATTTGCAATAAATGTGAATGCTTACTATGCACCGGAAGGGAACAGATTTGGAATTCCTCTCATCAAAATTATTTTGTAAGTGTATGATATAAGTGAAATCTCCAACATCTTTCGGCTTGTATGTAACACGAATACGACGATGAGAAAAGCTTTTGATATCTCCTCTTGAAATAGGGAGACCAGTGTCATAATCTGTTAGCTCCATTTCCTGTACCCCACAAAGATTGAATATCTATAACAAGACCATAACCGGAAATAAATGACGAAAGTCTAGTTGAATAGACGTGCTACGTATAGTAACCCATACATTAGTTCCTACTTATGCATTGTGGAACCTCACGAAGGAACACTAAATGGAAACTTCCACTGCTACTCAAACAAGTCTTGCAAGATACTCGATATCAGGTGAACTTTCAATACTAACGAGTCAAGACTACAAACAAGAGTAGAGCATAAAAAGAGTGAAAAGTGTAAAACAGTATTGTCGACGGCCTACATACCGGCTTTTCAGAAGGTCCACATTTTACATTGAGTTCAAAAGACCCAGGAATTTCAGAGAGGTTCCAAACGCTAAAATCTTTTACAAAAACTCCTCCTGGAACACAGTCTTCAAATACAATTTCCGAGACATCTGTCTGCAAGACTGATCGACACACTGTGGAATAAAACTGTACAGTGATTTTCTGATGATTAATTGAGGTAGCTCCCTCTTGCCTGGTCTCAAAACTGTCACCAAGAACACTGGCAGAGAAACTGAGATTCCCATTGACTTGAAATATTTCAGTTACATTTGAGCTGAGACGCTTTACAGGGTTTGTTGATGCATTCTGCTCTGAAATCTGTATAGTACATGAAGCATGTCAGTTCTTTAGATGAAGAAAATCGTTTTGATTATGAATCATGCTCTTGACTATAATCACACGTGACACGAATAATAATCTTTTACATGAATGAGGTCAAGATAGACAAAGCGAACCTGATTGATATTATCCTCATACTTCTCGTTTGATAATCCTTTGAGAGGTTCAGTGGGCCGAAAGGTCAATATCACCTGCTGAACTTGCCTCGGCTGCAGTATAACTTCAGAGACAAGATTCACGGTATTGAACAACTGCAAGCCGCATTTAAGAATCATGTATTAAATACGGCTTATCATCAACGCAAAAGCCTCTTTCCTTTCTGAAATGCCTCATTGTTTTATCGTTCAATCCCGAGAGGGACAATTCTCAACGGTCACTGCTGCCTGTAACTTGCTAAACAATTGCTGTAGCTGTAAAACATTACAACTTTTGCGACTGTATTGTCCATGAAGGACCATAATGAGAATACTGGTCCTATGCTAGACGATTGCCCTAAATCAAGGAATGAAGATGCGTAGTGATGAAGCATTCTAAGGAGCCTGCTCGCTCGAGGGGCCTTCCCAACAGTGTCAGACCTCCAAGTACAGTTTGGAATACGACCATGAGTGAAACTGAAAGACTAAGGACTGTGCATGAACAAGATCAATTTAGTGCAAAAGGACCGGTAAACATTACTTGATGGAGACACGAAAAACATGGTTCACGAATAATTCCCCATTGATCCATCTTTAAATGCTCCTATTCAGAATACAACTTACTTGATTAAAGTCGTCCGCTAAGAATGTAGCCACTGTCTGCTCCGCAATATTTTCATGATCAAAATTTTCATTATCAATCTGAAATCCAATTTGTGATCCCAGATCGCTCTCTAGCTTCACGCGAAGCGTTTCATTGCACAAACTGCTCCGACAACAACCGTCGTTCAAGTGAAAACAACATTTGCACTCAATTAGCCCGACAAGCCAACATGGAAATGATGTTCTTACGTGCTGATCTTAACGTCAATGCTTAACATCCTGGACACGGTAATACGTCTTCGTGAAGAAATGCAAACTAAGAATACAAACGAAATCGTCAGAAATGGCACCTGATGAACGAGAACTTGCGAAGGACATGAAATTCGTTCAGGATGACATTTTTCAGCTTTATAACGTTATTTGCAATATCAGTGGCAAACAAAAGCTCCGAATCGGCCTCGTATCTTGATGGTTCAGACTCCATCACTGCGCCCACCGTTCCAGCTGCTCTCTTAGTAGCGAGACAAAGTTTGAAATTTCACGTCACCATCCAGATTGATACCTAGCTCCTCCCGCAATCTCAATCTGGTCCCTGGCATTGAGCCCTCCAATAAGTCAAAAAAATTCCATTCGGCTCTTGAATCCAATGTCCACCTATCTTACTCCCCGGCTGTTTCGCAGCTTAGGTTTATCAACGTCAATTCCTGTGGTGGAGATTAAGCTAGGAAAGACCAAAACAATTGCACTTCACACAATAAAGAAGGTGTCGATTGCAAACGAGCAATTGTAGCACACTCCGCAAATGATCTCAACAAGCGAGCTTGTCCTCCTGTATCGTCGACGATGTATTCATTGTCACAGAAATGCACTTGCGATTCACAATCACAAAGAACCTGCACAAAGTCTGCTACAAAACCACTAATCAAACTCGCAGGCAACCGCTACCGTCATTGCACAATTGCAATCCAATAACATCTCCCCGCAACATAAACCTTCGAAACGAATCGAGAACACCAGGAAACCATCACCAAATCCCATAATTCCGCGACACGAACTACACCAATCCACCAAACATGTTCAATCCACCTCTCCACCCCACACCTCTCGCAACCTCGCGCCTACCTCCTCTAGGCCAGCATCAAAACACTGACACTCCATCACCATCTCGCATCTTCCTCGCCCACCACCGCACAGACGCGACAAAACAAGTGAAAGCTCGAGAGCAAAATTAAGCAATCTATCGCGTGTCACTGAGAGCGGCAGGGTTGCGAAGTATCGGGGAGGGAGGGAGGGAGGGAAGTATGCAAAAACAAAAAAGCAAAAAAAAACAAAAACAAAAAAGGAGGCTCACGCAGAGCCAGTAGAGGGGGGAGGGCAGTGAGGGCGGAGGAGTGCGGAGACAAGAGTGCAACAATAAAAAGGATGAAAAGGAATCTCCAACTGAAGTCGACCACGGAAGTGATAGAAGGAAAGACGCTTCTTGCTTCCTCGCCCACAGTCATACAGCAGCAACAGCAGCCCTCATCCCCCATAGTGTTGTTTTTGTTACTGTTGTTGTTATAGTTGCGTGTTTTATTTTTGTTATTATTATTCTTTTTCGCCTGCAAGCTCTAGCAGGATTGGAGTGTTAATTTCCCTGGCACAGCGATGTTGGTCATTCGGGCCCCCTAGTGACACGCTAATGACGTAATTAGAGGTTCTGTCCTAATTAATTAATTAATTATTGGGTTGCCGCATGCCGAGTTCCCCACTGGCAGGGATCCCTGAAATAGGGTGTGAGTGAGAGCCCATGGGAACGTGGGCGGATGGATGCTCCTTCCTGGATCCTGTCCCCAGATTCAGTCACCTCGGGGACATGCTGCAATATCAGTGCCTCCTCGTAGATTTCGTTGCGCCCCAGAAGCATTCTCGGTCCTCGTTTGCAGGGATTCCTCTCCCCCCCCCCTATAGTTCTCCCTCCTCTCTGTCTCTCTCACATACTTAATAAGCCTAATGGACGATTACATTTTCTTCTTCGTCTTCTTCTTCCACTTTCACTTCCACTACCAGTTCTTCCCACTTTCCCACTTCCCTTGCCCTACACCCTCTCCACTTGAGGCAAATTTAGGCAAGGGCCCAGCAAAGCAAAGTACCTCCAGTCCCAGTTCCTACTCCTGTGTGAACGCTAAACATTGAACCCCTCCCTCTTCCCACACTCTCACACACATTGACTACATATGATCTTGTACTAAAAATATACACAACCAGATCTTCAGTTATTTGACTGATTATATGTTACACCTCCAATGGAAAAACATCTTCTAGTTTTCTCTTATTCTCTTTTGTCTTTTTTCTCATTTTGGAATCTATTATAGGTTATTTTCAGCTAGCAGTGTGAATCAACTACCAAATCAACTATAAAGGAAATTTACCATTTTTGGATGGTAACATTTGAGTTTGGAATCAATCATTCTTTTCTTTTTTTTAATTTCGATTATTAGTTTGTGTGAGGAGATGGGACTTGGTCCTGCAAACCACTGAAAATGACCTCAAAAACTTATTTATACCTTTTTGATTGCAAAACACAAACATGCAAATCTACAAAGGCAAAAATATACTTGTGACAAACATTGTTTAACACCATACCATTTAATGAATAAATTCTAAGATATTTATAATCATACTAGTGTGACATGATTGAGGATCACAAGTATTGCAGTTTGATATTTCCCTTAAAAATATAATAACTCAAAATGTATTGTGTTGGATACAATGCTAAAATGAGCATATTCATTGTAAATCAAATTAATTGATTTAACATCAATCAGATAAATATACTTAGAAGTTCTTTCGTACAATTATTTTATATACAAATGAATTTGAAATAATTAGAATAAATTTATAAGTCAAATTAATCATGTCAAATTATATATTTCAAAAATAAATTTTTATTTGTTATTGTGGTTATCAATTTAGCTTGTTTATATATATATATGTATATATATATATATATATATATACACACTATTTTATCTTTTTTCTCTTTATTTGGTATTTCTTTAGATTATTTCAATAATTCTATAAAAACTTATTAACAAGAAAAATATAATAATAGGCATACAAAATTATGCATCTTGTATTTTGATGGATCTTAATTATAAAGGTATAAGATTTTGAATGTATACAAACTAATTTATTTATAGATAAATAATTATTTAATTTTTATAAAAAAACAATCTTATGGCATAAATAAAAATAAACACAATTCCTAATTCAAGTTTAAATCTTTTATATATGCAATACATTTTTTTATTATCATTTATCATCATATAAAATTAGAATTAGATGAATTTGCATAAGGTCAACAGTTTTTTTGTAAAGATTGAAGTAACCAAACTACTTTCGTTTCATATTATACATAAATGTATGTATTACATCTATCATTATTTTTATCTAAAATTCATGGCTAAATTATTGATTGTACAACATATTCTTTTTTACTTATTTAATGATATAATAAATATTTTAAAAAATTTGGTAGTTATCACAAACATACATATTTATTTAAATAAGAAATACTAGGTAGATAATAAATATAGATAGATTTGATATTATCTTGTAGCAAAGCTTCTTAAAAGCTTCATAATACAATTTCATTCTTATACGTGTTTAAAGATAATGGATAGGTTGAATACTTGGCCAACAAATTAACCATGTGTTGCACATATAAGCTTGTAGTACAAGCTAATGATGTGGTGCACATATAAGAAACTTGCCTTACAAGTTAAGATACATGTCTCACAAATTAGAAATATATTAGAGGTCCTACATGGCATCATCACATAGCTCCTAATTAGATAGTATATATAGAAGCAAGAATGAAGCCTTTTTCACTCTTATCAATGCCTTTCTAGTCTTTAGTCTTATTTGAAGACTTTCTAATCTTCTTATCTTTAACAATAGTCATTCTAGTTTAATATTATATCATCTTTGAGTGATTTTCTAGTCTTTTTGAGTGACAAAAGAGTGTATTGAACTTTTAGTCTTTTGAGATTCATATCCTTAACAATAGCACATATTATTTTATCATCTAGAAATAATTTTCTTATTCATTTTTAACTTCCTTTGAAGCAAATAAAGTATATTTTTTAAATTGATTTTTTTATAAGTATTTTAAAATATGCTTCATAAAATTAAACTTATTTGAATATCTTCAATCGTGCCATTAATTTTCTTTGATGTATTTTTTAGAATATAAGTTGGTCAATATTTCAAATAATATTTAAAAATTAACATATACTTTGTAGAACTTAAATCTAAAATTCACATAGACATACTAGATATTAAATTCTTTTACTTACCAAAAATCATAGTCATTACTTCTTCATTTATTTCTAATACTATTAAAGATATTAAATTTATTATATTAGATTTTAAGTAATTTAAAGAAATAATTTATTATATTTTAAAAAAACTTTAAAATATTATTTTTATTTTGATATGTCAAATATTCAATTTATGTATATATTTTTTGTATATTTTATTGTTTCAAGTATGAATCTTAAAATTATGTAATTAAATGTAAGATCTTTGATATAGATAGATTTCAAAGTTTTAGAAAATTAAATATAAAAATCTAATAAAATTTCATGAAAAAATAATATTTTATTAGTACAAATTTCTTAAAGATTTAAAAACAATTTAATTTATAATTTAATGTCTTAAAATATCAACTATGTTTTAACTAATTATTTTCATAAAAAATAAATATAAATTTTATATTATCTAAATTAAAAGAAAATATAATAAAAAAGAAATTTATGATAAAAATTTTAATAACAACTTTAAAATTGATACTTTGTAATAGAAGATTTTTAAAATTTTGATATTATTTTATACTTTTAATAAAGCTTATAGTTTTATATTCACTTTTAAATGTTGAATTGTACTCTAAAATATCTCATAATAATAATTAAATTTATTTTCTTCTACTATATAAGATATTAAATCTAAAAAAAATCTTATTAATCCAAAAATAAAATCATACATCTTCTAAATAATTCCTTTTAGATATATTATAAGTCCAAAATTTATATTTTAGGTTATTTAATACTATTTTAAGTTATTTTAGAATACTTTAAAATAGTTTTTATATTAAATTAGTTTATTAATATTTTTATAAAAAAATAAAATTTTATTAGAATATTAGTTGATATTATTTAGAACAAGAATTTAATAAGAAGAAATAAATATATAAGATCTATTTTCAAAGGAAGATGAAAAAATAAAATAATGAAGTATATATATTCTAAAAAAAATTAAAATGGATATTGCCAAAAGATAAGAAAATTAGAGATCCTTGAAGTTAGATTAGAAACAAAGAAAGAATTGAAAAGAGTGAAGAATGCTTCATTATTGCCTCTACATATACTATTTAATTAAGAGCTGCATAGCAATATTTTATAGGACCTTAAACATGTGTCTAATTTATAAAACAAATGTCTTAACTTGCAATGCAAATTTCTTATGTATACACTATATGATTATCTTATATTACAAGCTACTAATACATACAACACATTCTTATCTTATTGACTAAGTATTCAACTTACTTATTAAAGACATATATAAAGATGAAATTGCATTATAAAGCTTCTAAGAAGCTTTATGTATAAGATATTATCAAATTTATTAATTTTTATCTATGCCTATCTATTCATATTATCTAAATAAGTATTGGCCTAAATATATATATCTATGACATTATCTCAACTTTTAAGAAGTTCCATAAGAAGCCAAGATTTCATGTTGATGAAGTTGAAGATATAACAAATTATATTTACTGCATATTTTAATCTTTATTTCCTTCAAAGATAGTTGATAGGTCCTTTCAACCACCAATAATATTTTATTTTAGGATGAGAGGATCTCCTTGTTATTTGATTATTGTTGAAGCTTTCATAACTTTTTTTAAATAAAAGTTTTGAAATACCATCAAGATTTGTTCCTACCTCCAATAAAATCACTAGACATCCGAAGTTTCTTCTAAAATCATGATATTAAACGTGTTTTTATCTTGCCATCTATTCAAAGAAAAATATGTCATTCTTAAAAGTCTTTATCTCTATTATGTCATCTTGAAGATTGTGACAATTCCAATGTCTTATTCAATAAATCAGCAAATAATAGTTCTTGAATTAAATCTATTGGTTGTTAGTTCTTCAACTATTTAATGCCACAAATACAAAAAATCTATAAAAAATAATAAAAAGTAGAATATAATCTTTTTATGATCACGTTTCTTTTATAGCAAAGATTTGCTTGAATCTTCATCATAGTTTTGATGGATGTCGTTGATAAAAAGCTTTGACTTTCTTTATTGCATTTGTAGGATTTTTTGTTGGCTCCTATGTATGTTTACTAATTTTATATTTGTACTAAT